CCCAGTCAGCCAGGTGTGACTCTCCAAGGGGAAAAGAGCACTTCTCGGGGGGCAGGGGCCCCAAATCCCTGTCTGGTTCTGCCACTAACTTGCTGGGTAGTCTTGGGCAAGGGCCTTAATTTCTCTGGTTCTCTCTGCCTTAGAGAGTTATTGTCTTTTTCACATAAAGCAGAATCACTCAGTTGTGAAGTTGGAAGGATGCCTTAGTTCATCTCCCTCTTTCCAGAGATGAGGAAACTGAGGCCCTGAGAGACTTGTAAGTAGCACAGCAAGGACCAGAAACCAGGTCTCCTGACAACCTGAGCTGAGCCTGTTCCTCCTTCCACAAGCCTTGGCTTCCACAGCATACACACAGAGCACGGAAATGCAGAGTTGTCTTGCAAAACTCCTTGAAAAAGAGCTTCTCTTTAAAAGGTAAAATCCAACCAGTTAGTTTCTTAAAAAACCACTTAGTGAAGCAGGGAACCCTTCTCTGCGCTTTATGGATGAGGAAACTGAGATCTAGAGAGGAAGTGAGCTGCCCAAGGTCAATGCCAGATGTAGAGGGGCCAGAGCTAACAGTCTCATCTCTGGCTCCCAGCGGGACTTCTCATAAACCAGGGCCTCTCAACCTTAGCACTATTGATATTTCTTGCCAGATAATTCTTCGGGCTCTGCTCTGTGTATTAACAGCTTTCCTGCCATCTTTACACCAGGGGCCAGTAGCATCAACCCACAACCCAACTGTGACAATGAAAAGGGTCTCCAGGCATTGCCAAATGCCTCCTAGGGGACAAAGCCACTCGGGGTAAGTAAGACCCACTGCATTGAATCAATCTGGACTGATAAAGCCAAAGGATGCTGGAGCCAGGAGGGGAGCCAGGACAAGGATGAGGACCTGCTCGGGCTCACCAGGCACGGGCTGCTCGTTCACTGCTGTCCAGGCGTTGCCCCCCTTCTTACGCTTCTCAATCACGTAGCCCAGGATGTGGGCACTGCCAGGGCCCCGAGGTGCCGTCCATGTTAATGTGATGCCCCGGCTGGAGGCTGACAGGATGGCTGGGGTGGAAGGTGGCCCAGGGAGAGCTGGGGAGAGAGGAGGTACTGGTCAGCCAGAGGCCGAGGAAAGATGCCAGCTCA